AAAGCACCGAAATAAAGCACCGAAATGTGCGCTGCTTTTCGGTCTGGTTACTACCGTTTATGTCAGAACCGGTGCCATGATACCGGTACCCATCCCTAGTTCTAACTCATGGGAACAACTCTCAAAGCAGAATGAAGACTCTAACTCTATTTATATTATAATGATTAAAAAAGTGACAATGAAACGGATAAATCACATATAAAACACAATGATTTAAAACTACATTAAAATTTTAAATGTGATGACATTTCCGAAAATGAAGCTACTTAAAGACTGTTAGAAACTTAAAGACATAAAAGCATGTCTTGCACCTATTTCATGGCTTCTTTTACTTGCTTTTCCCACCCATTGTTTGTTTAACTTTTATATATTGAACGGCTGCTCTGGTTCCTTCATCCAGTCTGGTTTTCATCTCCTCCAGTTTCTGGACCTTCTCTGTGTCTCCTTTCTCCTTCATCTTCTCAATCAGGAAGTCCAAGTGGACAATAGTGGACGCTGAATCAGCTTTCAGAGCAATCTGCTCCAGTCTGACAAGATGTTGGTAGGACTCATCCAGCAACTGTGACTTCTCTGTTGTCAGTTTGTTCTTTTCCTTTTCAAGACTTTCCAAAATATCCAACTTGTTCTGACCTTTAGTTTTATTGTCTTCATATTTCTTTTTCATTGTCGTTTCAGTCTTCTGAACTTTTCGTGTCTTGGTTACATATCTCCACGTTTCTTTCACATGTTTTGATGCAAGACACTTCTTAGTACAAACAGTGCAGCGACCATTTTTCATGACCTCACAGTATTTTGGATACCAGGCTATGTAGCATCCAGGATAGTGACAGTTCTCCTCACAGACTGTACAGCAGACAGCTCCTTGATAAAAAACAAAGCCCCACATCCCACCACGGATTATTTCTTTATGTTTATAGGGCTCATCAACTTCTACAATGAACTTTTCATTCTTTGTCATCTCTTCCTTATGTTTTCTCAGAGCTTCTTGAATCTGTTTGATTTCTGTCTGTTTCATATCAGTCAGTTTGACCTTCTCTTGAAGGTTTTGGATGCAGGCAGTCAGTCTGATGCGATCATTCAGAACATCTGATGTCATTACTAGCTTTCGAGGTGAAGTTTTTTCCACAAAGGCTAAAAACTCTTGCATTCCTGTCATTGTGACTTTATCAGCATGTTCCAGGTGTTCTATTTCCTCTGTTCGGTCTTCATGCTGGCAGTTATCAAACAGGAAGTACACAGGCTGATTCTTCTCATTTTTGGCACATTTAATGTTTGAATCTTCAATAGCTTGAAGAGGGATTGTGGGTTTTCTTCCATTTGAGTGTGTGATCAAGGCTACAATGTATTTCTCCAGGTCTTTTCCAAACAGAGATGTCATTGCATCAATTATGTACTTCAGTCTGTCAGTCAGTCGATTATCTGTTGTCTTCATCACCAAACCCACTGCATGCACTTCATGAACTCCATCCTCTGATCGAAACAAGTCCAATAATCTTCCACTGATGCTGTCATCATGTTCAATTCCTCTGGTGTCTCCATATCCAGGAGTATCGATGATGGTCAGAGAATAGGGAAGAGTTTCATCTTCGAAACCAAAGATCTCGTACACGATCACATCTGATGTCTGACTTTCTGTCCGGCTTTTTTTCGCATCCTCTTGAACTATCTGAAACCAGACTGAATCCACCCACTTCACTCCAATGGTGTAGTTGAACAGAGCGTTGATCACAGTAGATTTTCCTGCTCCTGTTTCACCAACAAGTAAGATGGTTTTATTTATCTTGTTCACATTCTTTTCACCAAAGGTAACTCTTCTTTCATTTCCAATGGTCTCCATCTTTATTGTCAGCTGGTAGACAGCAGGAAGTCCTGAACAGATCCGAATACTCTTTTTGATGATGTCTTCGTATTTTGATGAGGTGTTACTGTTTCTGTAGAAAAAGTTGATAAGCTGATTTAAACACCATTTTAAATGCTTTTTAATCTTCCCTTGAGTGCTTGTGAATCTGAGAGCATCTGGATAATGTTTTTGCCTTATTGGGACCAATCAGCTGTTGATTTAACAAGAGACTGTTTTGATAAAATTATTGACATGTCTGCATGTTATAGTTTCCTCATATGTTTTATTTTATTAGTAATTTGTCACATGTTTTGTTGCTCTTTTAACTTTTAGGTCCATCCAAACCAGAACCAGTTAGGTCTTAGCAAATTAAACCTTAGAAGTGTTGAAATATACTATACCATTTAAAAATGATTCATATAAAAATCAAGTTTTCTTCCCATGATGCACTGGGAACAAATGCCCCTGCTTAAAAGAATTTACATATAGTTACATTTACCCTGCAAATACTGCTTTGTATTTAGTTATACTTTCATGTTTACGTGACAAACTATAATATTAGGTTTAGAAAAAAAAGCAATTTACTTTAAACATGGCTGGCTCACAAAATATAATCTACATCTTGAAAAGTACTGCTAAATCCTGCTGTATGTGTTAAATTTCATGCAAAGCACTTCTGACCAAATTTCTGTGTGGAATGTGTTGAGAGTAAAACCAACATTACGTTAGTCAAAATTATCCCCACTCTCACAAAATTTAACTCAGGGTTTAGGGGCCAAAGGCTTAATCTTTGAATGGTCATAATTGTTTTTTTCCATACACACCAGCATAATTCTCTGGTATAGCTCATACAGTATAAGCCAGAGTACTCTATGCATGAAATAAAGATTATTAGCAACTGTCGAACATTCAAGATTAGGGCTTTCAACGATCATTAAAAATGACTGAGCCGATTATTAGCCCCTCCCTCGTGCTTTACTCTCGCGCTGCTCTGTGTGGCAAATCGAGCACACCTCTCTGCATTTCGAACACGCGAGAGGAGAGTGACTGCCGTTGGTTGAAAAGAGAGGTAAAAAAAACTTGAGTGGTGTGGAAACATTATGGGTTCGCGGGTCAGACGTGGATCAAGTAGACACAGTGTGTAAACTTTGCTACAGTGTGTAGCTGCATCACAGAGCAACAATGCAAAGTTCACTAAACATAGATGTTTACATTTTTCATTTATTTCTTTTATTGCAAACATTTGCACTGTTATCAGTATTTGCACACTATTTTATATTATTTTTTTAAAGTCGTTATTCATTACATTGTTATTGTTAACCCTTTAAAGCCGGTCAGCGCGGCACGCTCTGTTTTGCGTAACTATTTTTAAATCCCTGTAGAACCGGAACCGCGTAAGCTAGCGCAATATTTTTTTTGCATATGAAACCGGAGGAGTTGTACTTACATCTTATGCCATCAGCTTGTCCTAGGTTACGGTTTCCTTCCACATAAAGCTTTGCAAAAATTGCATAAAAGGGCTTGCAGGAACAAAAACATAATATTCCAGAAACACGCTTTGCCGATCCGATCGTAACACTTCCCACATTGAAAAAGACGTCAACGCGAACTATCACGTGTCCACCATTTCCTGCCCGAAACCGGAAGTGATGTCATTTCCGCGAAAAATGTAGTTTTTTACTTGTAGGCCTTAAAAGCCTATACTGGTGTTTTTATTAGCGATGTGCGGATCGATCCTGAAATATCGATTCCTCCGATACCAATCATTTATGTTCTAGAATCGATTCTCACATTAAAATATCGATATTTTAGTAATGTAGAGTAAATTTGTAGTTTATCATTAACAGGAACACAGTCGAAAGAAACTATAACATTCGGATTGTCTACATTCAAAGGATCTACTTCCTCCTCCGCCTTTCATAGTCATGTGCGAAATACGGCTCTATAAATGTCTTGCAGCCCCTTGACGTGCGGACTCACAACAATGGCTGAGCGTAATTGTGCGGATGTATTTTACCTCCACAAACAGCTGAGATGTGGTTTGCGATACATGTGGCAAAAAAGTGAGGTGTTGTGGCCGTACTTTCCCAACCTTGAGACCTCAGAATTAGAGAGACATTCAAAAGAGCTGTTTAGGGGGGATAAATATATTTTACAGTGTTTATTTATCGGATAAAATACGTTAAATGTCACCATTATTATTGGGAAACAGCGGGGGTGTCCAAATTCAGAGGCTGCTTCCACCTGAGGATCCCCGCTGTCTAAAGAAAGCCGGGTCACGAGCTCCCTCGGTGGAGTGAAACTCTGCCGTCTGCTCCTTGCTATCTAAAATATAACCGGGCGCTGACGTAAACTCTCGACCGTCTCACACTTCTGTTTAATCAGTTTTCTGTTTGACGTTTATTCAGCTGTGTGAA